CGCATGCAAAAGTTTCGCAGCCACTGGGAATCGTCCCACACCTGCAACACTATGCGGTCCCACCAGTCTGTGCTTGTTTCCTGGGCCCAGAATCGGCGTTCCACGGATAGAACCTGCTCCATTAACAACATGATCTCCAAAGCACCGGGGCCCGCGGTTTGAGAGAATTCTGTGTCCATGTCCATGTCCGTGTCCTCCCTCATGCTTGTTGCTGCGCTGCCGTCGCCACCGCCTCCTCGCCTCGTTTCTCTGATCCTGGCTCAGCATAAACTGCACGAGAACGCGCGAGGTGTTTACAATGTTCATGACTGCTGTCTTGAGCTGAGCGGGCTCCGTGCTTGCCGTGGTATGGAGTCTGCAGTGTTCACCCAGGAAAAAAGGCGCGAAATGGTTGGCTGCCATTGCTTTCGTGGAGAGAGGGGTGAGGCTGTACCCAGAACCACCTGCGACAATGTTTTTTGCCCCATCAGGCACTGGGATCTCAACCCAGAATTCCAATGGGCACGGGAGACTGCAGGAACTATGGGTAGCCATGGGATAGCTACCCACAGTGCAACGCTCCGGAAATCGACGCTAGCCCCGGTACATGGATGCACACCGCCGAATTAATGTGCTTAGTGTGGCCGCATACATTCGACTTTATACAATCTGTTTCCAAAATTCGAATTATATAAATTCGGATTAATCCCGTAGTGTAGACATACCCCTCCACTGCATTAAAAACAAACTACTTGTCCTCACTTATAAGACCTTTCACAGCACAGCCTATCCCTGCCGTACCTATAATTTCTTATGTAGCATCAAAACATCAGTTCCCACCTTTGCAATGCAAGTGATGCCAGTCTTAAGTGCCCATTTGTAAAATTTTCTAACAAACACCTTTGTGCTTTTCTCCCTTTTTACCTCTTATGCATGGAAGAAGCTCCTGAAAATATCCTCAAAGCCACTGTTACTGTCATTTCAACCCTAACAGCTGATCCTCTTTCAGTATGGTTTGACTTTTCATAAGTACATAGTGCATTACTTATGCCCATGATAAAAAATAATAATGTAATTTTATAGTTATTGGCAAGTATTTTATATGGGCATCTGCAGTATTGCTTCTTGGTTAATGGCCAACTAAACCATTAACAGAAACTAATGGTGTAGAAGAAAAATTTCCTCCAGTGCTACTTTCTAATTGCTAGAAAAGCAAACTAAAAACACACTTTGCAGATTTAGGGCCAGATCCTCAGCTGGTGCAAACAGATGTAACTCCATTGACTTCAATCACTCTGTGCTGATTTACAACAGATGAGGATCTGGCCCATTGATTTCTGGAAAAATAAAAGCTTAGCAATAAACAAACAAATAGGATGAGACTTGTCTCAGTCTCCCCATTGATTTTATTTGTATTTTAAAAGACTTGCAAAAAATCAGATAAAATAAATATCCGCTTACATGAAATTTTAAAATACGCTTGCTCCTTGCTCACATTTGATTGGTCTTTAAACACTCTACACCCACTCAAGGTTGTATAAAGAATTAAAGAGTACATATTAAGCACGCTCTTTTAAAAATTCTGGTGGATCCCTTTTTCCCAGGTAACCCCCATGACACCAGTGGCCAGATGATGTGCATTCTCCAGCTGCGCCACATGCAACAGTAGTTACCCCATGCCCCTCCTTGAGATGGCTCGGTATAACCATCCCCATAGAAAGCCCTCCATGAAGTCTTGTGAAAGGGGAAATATGCTGCATGCACAACTCATAATGGTTCTTCTTTATACTGAATCTCTTCTCAAATTCTCTTCCTTGATTCTCTCTTCACCCAGAATCTCACAGACTTCTCCGAGGAGAACAGTGATGCAGTACAGAGATTTCACTCCGTTTTCACTATCCCTCTCCCCCTCACCATCGTCTCAACCCCTCCCCAACTTTCTCTCCACCACCTCAGTCTCAGTCCCTCCAACCTGCAACATCTAACCACTCAGCTGGTTCTCTTGTTCTATCCTCCTACCTGACTCTGGAGTGCATGGAGTACATAGTCCCCATGTCCACCCACTCTCTGCAGATGGTTTCTGTGTATCTATGCTGCTCTATGAAACGGCAATAGTTCCATTGCTGTGGGGATCTTCTGTGGGCTCTGTGAGATGGAGTGGATTTCACTCTAAAAGAGGTATGAAATAGTAATTAGATAGTTTGCACTGCATGTTAAGAAAATACCAGGTGGAAGTGTAAAGTGACCTTTTAAAATAATGTTTTGATTTCAACTGGATAACACGCCAATTTAATTTGTTTTGTTTTTTTCCCCAAGCTAATACAAATATCAACAGGGTCTGAAATACACCCTATAATTTTCCAATGTCCTGGGCAAGCGAGAGCAGATCAGATTAGGAGCACACCTCCCCACTGCTGGATGTGGTGAATTTCCAAATATTTTCCTGCTCTGCTTTGATTGGCACGGTGGAGACTTTGACTAAGAAAGCCAGTAGAACTCTTGTTAGATATTCATCAAAGTGTCCTGTTGTTATTAGAGATGGACCTGAGCCACCATGTTCAGATCTGGACTTTCCCAAAATTTGGGTTATTTGAATCTAGGATTTTAGTTCAACCTACAAAAGAGATAGGGCCAGTACAATGTTTGGACCTGGACTCAAACTTTTCCAAAATTTAGGGATTATCTGATCTAGGGATTTGGTTTAAATCTATCCCAAGTTATTATGTACAATTGTCCTTTTGTTTCATACAAGAAAGTGGAATTGTTTTTGGCTTTTTAGAAATTTTATTCATTGTCTATTCAATGCAAGTACAAAAGACAAAATCCATTCTTATGTTAATAGTTGTCCCATTGACTCTAATTTTAAAGGAAAATGAATACTTTCTTTCTATGCATATAATAGAAAAATATAAATAGGACTTAAGTTTCATCAAATCTTTGTATGCATTTAACATAGATGATATGCTTCATTCTAAACTTCTGAATACTATTTTGAATTATGAACAGAAAGAAGAGGTGTTTTTTCCCCCAGTGGTGCTTGCCAAATTTTATGGATCACATGTTTGTTGGACCAAATCAGAAGTACATTGTAAGAGATGTAGCACAGTGATAGATTATATATATAGGCCCTCATCCAGAAAAGAACGTCACCATGTGCTTAACTTTAAGCATGTGAGGGAGCTCACTGAAGTCAATGGGATTACTCATGAGCTCAATTCAAGCACATGCTTAAGCGCTTTGCTGGATCATAGCCATAGTACAGAAGATAGACTTATGAGATACCATCAGTGAAATGTGTGTGAATATTTATAGTAAGTTAAGTTAACATACAACTCTCTTCCAGCAGATACAGTAGTCATTTACTATTGTGCCATTCAGTGGCTTCAGGCAAACAACCTTCAATCTGAGCGTTCAAGCATTTGATTCTACGCAGAACTTCTAAGAACCTTCGTGCTGTGCTTAGAACCGGTATCAGAATTAGTTTAGAGGTCCCAAGATGAACATTGTAATTATGGTTCACATAAGAACTTTGCTATTTTCTCCAGAATGGGGAGCTTGGGGCTTTGTGGAAATGTCTTACATTTCTTTTCTCAGCTGCCCATTTGACTGATGGCCTTGATGCCATGACTGCTTCTTCCTCCTCTTCTGATTCATATCCCTGTATTTCTTCTTCAAATACTGCATCAAACTGGGGCTTTGGCATTAAAGCCGGTCTTCTTATTCTAGCTGTGTGATCCTGCTTGCTTGGGGTTCCCCTCTGACCTGCAAAATCTGACAGTTTCTCTCTTCTATCTAACTGCTCCATCGGAACCATCTCCTGCTGATGACGGTTTGCTCCAAGTGAGCCTGCTCGGAGCTGTGGACTGAACATGATGGAGACCATTGAATCAGAATCACTGCTGTAATCACCTGAACAGTAACACAAAAGGGACTGGTATTATTAAAAAAGAGAGAGAGTATTTTATTAAGAACTATTAAAAGAAAATACTTAATAATATACAGTATTATTCTGAGGTCATACATGTTACACTGGAGCTGTAGTGCTTGGGGCAATTACTGTAAAATAATGTACCTGTTATTATGAGGGACAATTAAAATAACCTATATTTCTTAAGTAGTGGAGAGAGAGAGAGAGAGAGAGAGACAATGGATTTTTGGCAGCTAGTGCATTCTGTATTGGGCTTTGTTTTGCCCTGAAGCTTTAATAAATGAGCGTACTCTGCTCCATGTTAATAGCTCTCAGTGCTGCTATTGTCATATTATACCATGCAGGAGACTCATTCTTGTAAGTTTTAATGTTCTGCAAGTTATTCAAGCAGATAACCAAACCCATAATTCTGAAGCATTACAAAAAACACAACCTAGGACTGAATGTGACTGATGAGAGGTTTCCAACTGGAAAATTACAGGTCACCTACAATTAACAAGACCAAAAGAACCAGTTGCACTTGAAGGTTTGGCTTCAAGGCCCTTTGATTAACCTGGGTGTGTCAGAGGATGAGCCTTTTCCCTGAAGTCAAAGTTCCCTAACCTTATTAGAAACACACCCTTTGGCACCCAAGGCACTTCCATCGTCTCTGGTGCAAAACTTTTGCCTACACCAAGGTGAATTAGCCCTCTTGTCCTATTTATTTAACTAAGCAAATCTCTGCTCTTTCCTTAATTACAGACCATCTGAAGTCTGAAGGTGTAAAAATAAATTAGCCATACTATTACATAATTACTCATAAAAATACAGGAACCACCAAATAAACAAAAATACATGAAGGGTTATAAAACAGATTATATCCTATTGCAATTAAACACACATATAGTTGTCTCAAAGAAAATGGATAATATGAAAAAAATATTTTCAGATTTGAAAGAGGACTGAACATAATAAGGTGGCCTATATCTATATCTAGCCAGATGGGGTAATCGGTGCTACAAAGTGTCGGACATATTGGTCATAGAAATATTTACCTGTGTGAAACAGGAGAAAAATGACCATTATTTTGCAATTTGGTTAATTCGTTTTACCATGCTGCTTTGGATACTCAAGCAACCAAAGCCCCAGATCCTCACATGTATTTAGATGCCTAAGGGCAGGTCTTCACTACGGGGGGGGGGGGTCGATTTAAGATACGCAAATTCAGCTACGCGAATAGCGTAGCTGAATTTGACGTATCGGAGCCGACTTACCCCGCTGTGAGGATGGCGGCAAAATCGACCTCCACGGCTCCCCGTCGACGGCGCTTACTCCTACCTCTGCTGGTGGAGTACGCGCGTTGATTCGGGGATCGATTGTCGCGTCCCGACGAGACGCGATAATTCGATCCCTGAGAAATCGATTTCTACCCGCCAATTCAGGCGGGTAGCGTAGACCTAGCCTTAGTCCCATGGGCTCTGTCAATGTGACTAACTTTCTTTGCATCTCATTGACCCACTGTGTTCTGCTGAAGTTTGTTTTGCCTTCCCTGATTATTACCAGTGGGTAGCACAAGCTTCTGATTATTGTAAACTCCCTGCATAGATTCACTGATTGTATCTTTAACACTATATGCCCTGGGCTAGATTCTCAGCCCTGCCTCAGCTGCTTTGCATCCACTCCTGGGGTATGTTCCAAAGTTTCCAATGAAATAATACGAGATTTGCTAATGGCAGCGATAAGGGAAGGTTAGGCCCTAGAAAGGGATGCAATAGATCTTCATATCATAGACTGTTGTGCCGAAATATTTAACAGCTTTTAAACAGGACTGATATCCCTTGACCCATAAATCCTGTTAGTTACCACCTGTTGTTCTATATCTCTAGTTCAGAAATCTCTTTGAAAATAAATAACTTGAAGGTTTTGGCTGGGTGCTTATCAAGTGTTCCATACTGTGTTATGCACCCAATATATGCACAACCTGAAGTGGGTAGTTTGCTTATACAGATCACACACACTTTCTTTTGTTTCAATAGGAAAAAAGAAATGGAACAGAGTAAATCATTTTGCACATGCAGGAAACAAGCAACATTTGGCTTTTCACCATTTTTCTACAAAGATGATTAAAAAAAACCAGTGTCATTCATTGCCAGATTTTTAATGTTGCCAAAAATGAATAGCCATTTTCAACAGCCACATGTGTTTCAGGAGTTCATATGTAAACAAAAAGTGGAAAGGTGTCTAGTGGCACATGGGCTCACAGGTAGGACAATGGAAGGTGAGTTAAGATACCTGGGTTCCATGCCTAGCTCTGACACTGGCCAGCTGTGTGACCTTGACAAGTCACATCACTGCTCTTGACCTCTGTTTCTCCTCCCACCCAGTGTCTGTCTTGTCTACTTAGATTGTAAGCCGTTCAGAGTAGGACTGCATCTTACTATGTGTATGTAGAGTACATACTACAAGAGGGCCTGATCTGCTACTGTCATACCAAGAAGAAGAAGAAAATGTATATCACAGTGGAGATGAGGGAAGAGACAATAGACACTTTGGGATAGATTGTGTCTGAACCCCCAGGTGTCTTCCTGGTTCTTGAGGCAAATACAATGGACTCTGGTAAATATAAGGGGAGCCAAAAGACATTCTAGTTTTCCATCATTTAGGGAACAAAGGGAACGGTGCCCTCTAAGTTTCCGAAGTTTGGATCCTCTGGCCTGGAGGGCTATAGATGTTGGTAACTTGATGTAAGTGAGAAAACTATTTAGGGAAACATTTTAACTTGCTAAAATGCAGTTTTAGTCACTAGAAAGTGTTATGTTTTCTTTTGTTTGTCACCTCACCTGTCTCTCTTTCTCCTGCTTAGTATTATTTAAATCTTTGTTGTTTATTAATAAACTTATTCTTAGCTTTACTATAAACATATCAGTGCTGTTATATTGAAGTAACGAGCAAGCCAGCAGGCTGGTCCCGTGAGAGGGACTGGACACTGAAGAGATGTGTCTGGGGAACTTGAGAACTGGGATTCACTAACTGTTACGTTGCAAGGCAAGGTTCAGACTGGCAGAATCTTGAGGAGTTTGCTAGATAGACTGGTGTGGCCAGGACCTGACCCACAGTCTAAACTCCAGCAAAGCACACCTTCGCTGAGGCAAAGGGGTAACACACTGGCTTATTGGTTCTGGGTGTCCTGAGCAGGTGACCACAGTTGGTGCCATGTAAACACCATGGAGCGACAGATAGGTGAAGGGGATGCAACTCATTTAAAGCAACTTTGGATTTCTTAGGGGATATTGTTGTAAAATTCATGGAGCAAATTCTTGGTTTTCCACTGTATCTTTTTGGCATGGTATGCAGAGTAAAGTGTGTTTGTTACCTGTAGAAGCATCATGCCTTGCTTTTCGTCTAGCTGGATGATGAGTACCATACCGTAAAGAGAGGAAACGCACATTTTTGGTGCTAGCCTGTGTGCAAAGACAGAAAAGCATACAGTACATTTAACTGTGCCAACCTGGATTTAGAAGCAAAACCAGTTCAGCATGCAGGACATTCCAAGCTGTGCCTTTCCACTGCTCAAACTATATGGGCCAAATTCAGTCTGAGATAAATGGGGGCAAGTTCCCAAGGAAGACTCTGGATTTTAATTCAATGAAAAGATAAACAATAGAGGCACTGTTTTGGCATTCAGTGATGGGCCAAACCAATGTAATTTACACACCAAGGGACTGGAAATCTGGGTTGTTAGAAGAATAGCAACTAGCAGCAGGACGGAAATAAGGGGTAGTGGTTATTTGGGCTTTGCTGCTTTTTGTGCTACACCTACACAGGTGTGCTACATCAATGTGAAACTAGTGTAAGTGGGTTTACACTTACACCTTCCACACCCTCAGAGCCTGATTCTGAACCCATTTACACTGGGTTTACACCAGTGCAAACAGGATCAGAATTTGGCCCTTGGGGTATGAGCCAAAGCCAGCTGAAGGCAATGGAAAGACTCCCATTGACTTAAAAGGGCTTTGCCTTAGTCCCTAGGTGCGTGTTTCACTTGTTTTGTACCCACAGTGAATGGCAAAGTTAGGGCAAGTTACAGTGCTTTACCTCTTATAACCAATTACACTGTGTTCTGACTAGCATACGGGTGACATGTCACTGACATTACTGTTCACATTATTGCTGAATATGCCCCATTGTTTCCAGGTGCTTTCCTCTTCCAATGCTCTGTGGGAAATATTCATTTCAATTATTGCAAAAGCAAATTAAAATTGGCTGGGTTTTGTACATCCAGAGACAGGCAGGTATTTTCATCCCCTGATCACATGAATTGTAGCTTGCATAACAGTTACCGGTTTCCCCCAAGGTAAGCTGTTTCCTTTCCTGACACTCTGCCTCAGGCTGTTCTGGCGACGGATGAGAATTTCTTTGGCTTGTTTCTCGTTTGTTTCTGTTGGCAGGTTGTGTCTGTTATATGACAGCGTCTGAAATAGGAAATACATGTATTTGACTCTCTTCTCAATGCACACTTGCCGCATTGGCTCAAGCAGCGCAGTCCAGTCAAGCATGTGACTGGGAGCAAGGAACTTCTCTTGCATCCCATTCCTGGCTCTGCCACAGACTAGCTGTGAGATCTTGCACAACCTTGCTGGGACAGATCCTGGCCTTCAGTATGGCTCCCTTGTATCGCTCCAGTCCCGCCCTACCTGTGCAGCTGTGAATTCCCTTGTGTGGAGAAAACCCCATGTGGTGGACAGCCAGCAAAGCTAGCTCTACATTATCCTTAGCCACATGCCACATCCTACAGAGCTGTGGCCTGGCCCGGGAGGAAAGGATTGCATAAACTGAGGGACCCTCAGGAATTAAGGAATTGCCTAGGGGGCACCTTTGCTTCCCACTCCGTTCCTGCACCAGATAGATCTCAGTCAAAACCAAGGACTGACCCCTCTATTTCTTAGGCCTGGTCTACATTAGAAAGGCAGCACAACCTGACATTTTGTGTCCTATTGGCAAAAGTTTCCATTTAGCCAGCAGTTATTCCCCATCTCTGAGCAGCATACATCCTCTGCCAGATTAGTTCTATCAGTGCAATGCAAGGGTGGATGCACATGTGTCCATATTGGTAGAAGCTATAATGCCACAATGAAACATTACCTTCAGCAGTGTCTGGTAAAAGTTTAGTCACTGGGCCTGATTCTTTATTATCTTGGGTATCCATTTACACCTATCCAAAGTGAGTGAGGGTGGAGGTTAAACTCTTTGGGCCTAACTCTCAGCTACATGGAGGCTGCTTTACACTATGCTGACATTGTAAAAGATCCTTAAAGTGGGCATTAGTTTAATGTACACTCACTTTAAGGCTCTTTAACACTGCCAGAATGGTATAAAGTGGCCTTAGCGTAAATGAGAATCAGGCCCTTCCATTCTAATTTGACAGAGATTTACACTCACTGTGCACTGCGGAATATGGCTGCAAATGGTGCAAGGCCGTAGAGAATCAGGCCCTCAACCTGTGAAATGAGAATAATAGTTATCAACCTCATAGAGGTGTCGTGAGGGCAAATTCACTGATTTTTGTATAGCAGTTTGAAGACTTAGGGCCTGATCTCAATCCCACTTATACTGGTTTCCCACTGATGCAATTCCAGTGACATTCCAGAGTTAGGCCCTCAAAATTCAAGATAACAGGGGAAGTAGTAGTACAGTATTTAAATCCTTCATTTCCAAGAGAAGATACGGTTTCAAATACCACATAGCATGCTATAGTGCACTAACAGACCTTAAGGTAACTGATTTTGCAGACACAGGGTTCACCTCGGTAATGTATAGGACAGTAGAGAATCAGATGCATATGCAACTTGCTAGTAAGATAAGAAATACCTTTCATAAGGATAATTGGGCACAATTCAGACAATTTTAAAGAAGAATATAACATGAACAATGACCTGTTATAAAATGATCATTCTCCAGCCCTGCATATGTTACATTAGTCAGGGCAGTTGATCAGCATAATTTCAAGGTTACCCAAGTGTACCTGCTAGCACACTTTGCCATAGGAGAGCATGACAGTGTTCAGCATTATGCTTGGTTGGTTAGTGATGCATTGGACTGGATTACACTGATGTTGCACCTTTGACCAGCATCACACTGTATTTTTACAGGATACCAAAATCATGTCCATTTTTTTTCAAAATAAATCCTTGCTGAGACCCAGCTCAGACCCAGCTCATGGAAAAGCTTACAAGACGAGGCTCAGGGTGGGAGGGAGTTCTTCCCCTATCATCCTATCATGAGGGCAGGGTTTGCCTCCCACACAGAACAAACCATGAGACCTGCTCCCCAAATCTGGCAAATCTACGTAGGTCCTGTGCCTCCACAACAGCACCGGCCTCTAATGGCCAACAACCTGCTGCTCCTTCATAGGGCAGGGCCATTGAGATTAGAATGAGATCAGTTTTAAACCTACTCTGCAGATGGTTTGCTTTAAAAAGTGTAACTGCTGCACATGTTCAGGTAAATACCATTACTCCTAAATTCCATATCAACTCCATCTCCTCAGTTGCCATGGGAATACTCTACAGGTCTGCTGCTGCCCTCACAGGTCACAGCTTGTGTGTGACTAGAGAGAGAGAGGGCGTGGAAAGTTAAACTAGAAAAACTAGGTGTTGGGCAACATCAGAAAAGAGAACATTCCTGAGTCATGGAGATTTTTACAGCTAGGGAAGCCTGACCTCTAGAGCTAGTTTCTGGATTTTCTTGTCCTGTTACATTGCAGATCAGACATCAGGATGAAAAGCTAGAAGTCAAACTCCCTTTTACTTTTTGTACTGTGGGATCTGAGCGCAATGGGCCAGATGCTCAACTGATGTAAATCAGAGCACCTCCATTGAAAGCCATTTGACACCAGCTGAGGATCTGGCGCACTATTTCCCATTAACACAGTTTCATGGCTCAGCTGAGAAGAACAATACTATCTTTGCAGCTACCATTGGCTGTTGCTATGATGGTGAGGAGGGCAAACATTCTCTTTTGATCTACGAGTACAGAGCTTTGTTACAATAGTCGCGTACACACCCTTTGTCGTACTTGATACAGACTATGTGCCAGCATATCCCGCATGGACTCCACCTCTTCAGGGGAAAGCCTATGCATTCTTTGATTTCTATAGCTCCTGTAAATAGAAGGGAAAGGTAAACATTATACTAATTTGTACAAATCACACAGGAATTATCTTTCCTATAAAATTATTTATTTTCTTATGTTATTATTTCTAGAGCACTGCAGGTGTGAATGGCAATTTTCTAACCAATGATACTAAGGAATCAACGAAAGCTAAAAGAGAAAACTTCCTTAGTTTTTTTTTTTTTTTTTAATTTTTGCACTTTGCATCATCTTTTGAAGAAAGAACATAAGAACAGCCATACTGGATCAGACCAAAGATCCATCTAGCCGAGTATCCTGTCTTCTGACAGTGGCCAATGCCAGGTTCACCAGAGGGAATGGACAAAACAGGTAATCATCAAGTGATCCATCGCCTGATGCCCATTCCCAGCTTCTGGCAAACAGAGGCTAGGGACACCATCCCTGCCTATCCTGGCTAATAGCCATTGAGGGACCTATCCTCCATGAACTTATCTAGTTCTTTTTTGAACCCAGTTATAGTCATGGCATTCACAACATCCTGTGGCAAGGAGTACAAGAGACTGACTGTGCATTGTGTGAAAAAATACTTTCTTTTGTTTGTTTTAAATCTGCTGCCTATTAATTTCATTTGGTGACTCCTAGTTCTTGTGTTATGAGAAGGAGTAAATAACATTTCCTTATTTACTTTCTCCACACCAGTCAATATTTTATAGACCTCTGTCATATCCCCCCTTAGTTGTCTCTTTTCCAAGGTGAAAAGTCCCAGTTATATGGCAGTGGTTTGCATACTCCTAATCATTTTTGTTGCCCTTTTCTGAACCTTTTCCAATTCCAATATATCTTTTTTGAGATGGGGTGACCATATCTGCATGCAGTATTCAAGATGTGGGTGTACCATGGATTTATATAGAGGCAATATGATATTTTCTGTCTTATTATCTATCCCTTTCCTAATGATTCCTAACATTCAGTTTGCTCTTTTGACTGCTGCTGCACATTGAGTGGATGTTTTCAGAGAACTATCCACAATGACTCCAAGATCTCTTTCTTGAGTGGTAACAGCTAATTTAGATCTTGTCATTTTATACATATAGTTGGGATTATGTTTTCCAATGTGAATTACTTTTCATTATCAACATTGAATTTCATCTGCCATTTTGTTGCCCAGTCACCCAGTTTTGAGAGATCCTTTTGTCACTCTTCGTAGTCTGCCTGGGACTTAACTATCTTGAGTAGTTTTGTATCATCTGCAAATTTTGCAACCACACTGTTTACCCCTTTTTCCAGATCATTTATGAATATGTTGAATAGAACTAGGCCCAGTACAGAGCCCTGGGGGACACCACTATTTATCTCTTTCCATTCTGAAAACTGACCATTTATTCCTACCCTTTGTTTCCTATCTTTTAACCAGTTACCAATCCATAAGAGGACCTTCCCTGTTATCCCATGACAGCTTACTTTGCTTAAGAGCCTTTGGTGAGGGGCCTTGTCAAAGGCTTTCTGAAAATCTAAGTACACTATGTCCACTGGACCCTTGTCTACATGCTTATTGACCCCCTCAGAGAATTACAGTAAATTGGTGAGGTATGATTTCCCTTTACAAAAACCATGTTGACTCTTCCCCAACAAATCATGTTTCTATGTGTCTGACAATATTGTTCTTTACTATAGTTTCAACCAGTTTGCCCAGTTGAAAACAGCTAAAACATCTATTAACGTATTGTGAAGATAAATAAGGTGCCATTCAGTTTACAATAGAAGCCAACCTTTCCTTTTTAAGAGTTAACAAGGAAAGTCACCTTCCACACAGTAGGGTCTTGGAGGAAAGTGTTAAACTATGGAAGCTGGTTGATCTGAAATGCTAACTGGATATGCCAGGTCAACCTCTGTGAGAACCTCATCATATACCATATCATATTTATTTGTCTATCTTTTCCCTCATATTAAGTGATGTAATTGTGGTAAATGGTTTGATTAAAGGAGGGTTTCCTTTAATAACATTATGACAGGATTGTGGTTTCAGTTTCCCTTACATTAGCAAAAGAATACAGCCTTTAATATCAAAAAGAAGCTGTGTCTGGAGTAAACTAAAAACTGTTATATGATTCATGACTTGGGCCAGAGCACTGACATTCAGATATGTATTAGTTTAGGCTAGGGTTTGGTATTCAGGTTCAGTGCAGAATCCAGGCTACGGTATGGTGGCCGTATGATTGTCAATTACAGCTAATTTCACAAAATTGCCACCATTCGTTGCAATTGCAAAATTGCCACCTTCTTCAAGCACAACAGAAATAAGGCCTTATCGGGTTTTGCATCTGTGATAAATGAAGGGTGGGTAGCTCCCATTTATGGACACCCAGCCAGCCAGTTAGCTGTAAAATCCCTTTTGGTAGCTGTTCTCTGCTTGCTTTACCTGTAAAGGGCTAAAAAGCCTCCCTGCATAGGTACAAAAAAGGGAAAAAAAGGGGAAGTGGGCACCTAACCAAAAGAGCCAATGGGAGGGCTAGGACTTTTTGAAATTGGGAAAAAACTTCCCTTTGTTGTCTGTTGTTCTCTCTGGGCTGCAGGGACCCAGAGCAGCCATGCTATAAGCAGGAATGCTGTGTAAGGTTTGAACCAGGTATGAAAAATTATTTTCCATACCTAGAAAGAATCATTGGGGACAGGGAATGTTTAGATTGATACGATCAGGTTTATTTCTTTATTTTGGCTTGTGGATCTCCTCTATGCTAACCCCAGATTCTTTTGGTTGCTTGTAACCTTTAAGCTGAACCCCCAAGAAAGCTATTTTCGGTGCTTAATTTTTGGAATTGCACTTTTAAAATCTAGCAAAAGCCTAAGTTCCAGAGGTATTTTCTTTCTTTTTGTTTTTAATAAAATTTACCTTTTTTAAGAACAGGATTGGATTTTGGGTGTCCTAAGAAGTTTGTGCATGTTGTTCGATTAGCTGGTAGCAACAGCTAATTTCCTTTGTTTTCTTTCTCAGCTCTTCCTCGGAGGGTGTGTGTGTGAAAGGGCTTGAGGGTACCCCACAGGGAGGAATTCCCAAGTGTTCCTTCCTGGTTCCCAGGGTTTTTTTGCATTTGGGTGGTGGCAGTGTTTACCAAGCCAAGGTCAGAGAAGAGCTGTAACTTGGGGGTTTAATACAAGCCTGGAGTGGCAAGTATTCATTTTTTGAATCCTTGCAAGCCCCCACTTTCTGCAGTCAGAGTGACAGAGTGGGGATTCAGCCCTGACAGCATCCAACCTGAAACCAAAGCCATAGGGATAGGTTTGGGTTCAGGCATTTGAATCTGAACACTGCCAAAATTCAAATGTGTTGAAGATCCAAAGTGGCCCATCTCTAGGAAATGGCCAGTTGTTGAGATCAACTGCTGTCTATATGTAGTGATCCAAAATATATCACAGGTGAAAAATGGCAAGTTAGAAAAGGAACAAGTCAGCCATAAAAGATGCAACATTTATAGAAAAAAGCCCCATATTTTTAAAAAGTAACCATTTAAATAGTCTAGTTTAATAAATAAATAAGACACATTTAGCCTGGCCCCCTGTCTAGGGACTTATAAATGCACACATTAGAGCTCTAAATTGGAGAGATGGGCATGTGGTTTGTTCCAGTGACCATTTAAATTGCTAATGTTTTTTTGAAGTGGCTGCTTTTAAACTCTCTGTGGACCACTGTCAAGTGGTCCACACACTACCAATGGTCCATGAAACGTAGTTTGACAACTGAAGTCCTATGCAGTACAATCCCCTCATGGCTGATGCCACAAAGAATAGCTGCTTCTCTACCCACTTCTTGTCCAGGCCTGCCCGCCCTAGACCTATGGAACCAGAAGCCTGTGGTGCACCTGCAGAGGGATTTTATATCACAGAATTGGAAAAAGGGTTGGGAAAGTATAGAGAAGAATGGTATCATGTAGAGATCACTTCATCCTGCTACTTTCCCCACTCCAGATCAACCCAATCTGGCTCCCCCCTGCATGCAGATGTAGATGGAATATCAAGCCTTAAATCATCTCAGTGGTGGTTATCATTTCGCTCTTTAGGTGACTCAAATAAAATGCCCTCAGTTTCAGCTGAACTGAAATAGCAACAGAACAAACAACATGAAGATTATCTGTATTGTTCTAAAGCCCAAATAAAAAGCATATTCTTTGCATGGGATTAGCCATTAACCTGCCACATTGATAACAGTGAGCCTACCTGGGGAATGGAGAAAAGGTTATGTTTTCAGTTTAGTAAGCACTCCTTTAATTAATATTTCACAATATACAATATATTTCAAAACCTGCTTTCAGCTAAAACAAGTTTGACTTGTTACCAACCCCATAAAATCATCTTTATTAAAATTCTTTCTCTGATGCTTATTGCAACTTCCTGCATTTTACTTGCAGGGCCCAGTCCAGGTGTTTTATTTGCAAAAACATTACTGAGATTATATCATTTTGGGTGCATAGCAATTGGCTATAACTCTGGGTTGGCAAAAAAAATCTATTCTGATCATGAATGAACCCAAAATACTGGCCACATTTGTTCTAAAAAAATAGCGCTAGTTAAAAAATAAAAACCAAATTCCCCAAAAATCCTTATCTAATTTTTTCCACATTTTTTGTTACATTTTGAACTTTCTGTACTCTCCATCCAGTTCTACTAAGAAGAAAGTAGCATCCTAGTGGGATAGCGCTTATGTAATAGTGTCACTGGCAATGAAAACAGTCTGATTCTGAGCCTGCTTACACCAGCGTACATCAAGACTATCTCCCCTGATGTCCAAAGAGTCACAGCAGTGTGAAACCAGCAAAAGTGAGTTCAAAAGAAGCCCATCCTGTCTTTCTTATGATTAAAGTATATTGTCTAAAATACAGCCATAGAAATGTGGTATCTGCAGCATCTGCTTGGATGTGCTTTGCCTTTTGAAATCCCCATTTCTAAGGCTTATGTTCTCTAAGCCAGTATAATTAGGTGCTATACTTTATCTCAAATCTAGATGCTTTGTTGCCCAGTCAATGGACAAATACTTAATGCATAGTCGACCTGTAGGAATCCCACTGACATGAATGGAAGTTCTGAGCCTGGAGCGAATCCAGAAGGCTCAACTGAGATCTGCCCTGATTGCCAGAGAGATTTCTTCCCCTTGTCTCTAAAGCATGAAAACCCCAGATAGTAATGATATGCCTGTGCAACTGATCAAAAGAGCTGAGGAGAAATGTATCATGTTATTATTGCATTCCAAATGTGGCTTTATATTAAATGCATCAGAATTTCTTTCCAAACCCCCCAGTTTCCAGGATTATTTATTTAGGACCAGATTTTGCCACCCTCACTCACATTGAATAGTGCCTTACACTACAAGCTGTTTCACTGAAATCAATGGGATTACTCACTCTGATACCATGACCTTCAGTAGCCTCTTTCTCCTCAAGCAGTTCCACTGGCTGCTTAAAAAGTAAGGGACTATTTACTGTGAGTAAAAAATATCAGAATCTGGCCTAGAGTAAGATCCAATTCCACCTGAGCAAACTATTTATTCTAGAATGATATTTTTCATCCTACAAACTCAGTTCGGGAGTGAATTTATAAAACTACATGCAATTGGTTGGTCTTATGTTTTTAAAGAAAGTAAATAAAAATGTTGTTTGCGTGTCACAACTTTTCTTTCAAACTTCCTATTTGTATTATCCACATGCCGCTCAGAAATATTTCTGACACACAGTAAAAGGAAAATTCACAGAGATCATGACCATATGCTTCCTTTAATGTTATCCTCTCACCAAAAAAAATGATGTAGAAAAAAATTGACCAGCTCTTACATTACACAATGATACAAGAATTCAAAACAAACAAATGAATTTTTACATGATCAAGATAAACAGTTTAAAGAGTGACCCTGGTAAGGTAACTTTTTTCTTAGGTGAGATCTCTGAAACACTCCCATGCACATACTTACTTGTGTGCAGTCATATTGAGGTCAGTGGGTCTGCGCATAAGAATAATTATGTGCATTGGAGTGAAGGTTTCCATGATCCAGCTCTTTATATTTTATAAGGTTTTATCCAGAATTCAGTTTTACTGATCTCAACAAAGGAACTGTGTTGCACTGAGGGTATTTGCCCCATTGATTTCTATAGGGATTATGTTTGTTTTTCACCAAGTCTGTTTCACATAGCCTTCCATTGCCTTTCAATTGGCTCCTCTGTTTAGGGGAGAAGGACGGACTCAAACCTTCCATGTATCTCTGGGGGTTGGTTCAGCGTGCTGGAGGGAGTAGACTTCACTATCCCAGCACATGAAGCCATTAGCCCACTTTTGCTGTACAGCAGGAAGCTCCCCCTTGGGCACCCACTAACAAAGGCCTTTGGCTAATTGGCACTATTTAGCCTGTTAGTTAAGAAAACTAGAGATGGCCAATAGGGTAAAGTAAAAAAACTAACCCCACCCTATCCCAGTCTGTCAAACCAGACATTTTTGGAGGTTCAGAAAGCATGTTTCATTATTTTTTTAGTCTCTCTCTGCACCGGATACTCTTGGGGGAATTCTGTGCACCTGCGCAATGCAGAATTTTGTAGAAATTAATGATGTGCGTGCAGAATTTCCTTTCCCCCACAGAAATGTGCTAGCCGCCACTAGGGCCACTGGACTTGGCAGATCCCAGCTTGCACGTAGAAGACTCTGCTGGAGGGCGGGGAGGGAGCTAGAGTGTTCCTGGCAGCTGCAGTTCCCAGCATGCCCTGAGGGAAGGAGAAGGCGGTGCACAGGAAACTCTGTGCAAGCCTGGGACCAAGCATCAGGCTATTTCTCCCTCTGGATCCCTGGGCTCTGGGGGAGGCGGGGGGAGAGGAAAGGAGTGAGGGAGATGGGTGTCTGGACAAGGGGAGGGCGAGCTGGGCTCTGTGGGGAAGAGGATGCGGGTATCTGGGCCAGGGGGGTCCCACAGCTGGGCTCTGGGGGGAGTATCTGAGTTGGAGGGGCCCTACGATTGGGCTCTGGGGAGAGGGAGTTCAGGTGTATTGGCTGGGGGGGCCCTACAAGGGGGCTCT